ATCAAGAGTCGTACCAGGATGCTGTCCTTGGGCAACAGAAGGGGATGTCGAGCCGCATAAGGTAACTCCGCATTTCGTAATCTACCGCCTACCCGTATCATACCCTTGTCATCAATAAAAGGGTTAAGCCGTGCAATGGCACCCTTTAATTTATCCCCCTTTCGTAAACTATTGATTGCAGTTTGAAAACTTTGACTCTGCTCTAAACGCACCCAGAACAACAATGCTTCCCTTCTTTCCTCCGGGGTAAGCACTGGAGAAAACCGTCTATCGGATTTATTTCGAGTGTTGTGAATAAACCGTTTAAGCCAACCCGTCACTCCTAACAATTTATCAAGGGAGCTAAACCGATCCAGCAATTCATCTAAATTTTGCTTCGGCTCCGACTCCACCGCTAATACTCGAAGTCCTGGTAACGGTTCAACCGGGTCGACAATATTATGGGGCCAGCAACCTTCAGGTTCACACAACCAGACTGGTCCCCACCACAATGGATGACTCAAAATAACTGAAGATTCGCAACCTCGTGAAGCGCAATCGGCTGGATTTAGGTCCCCTGGTACATTTCTCCAATTAATAACAGCCGTCGAATCGCGAATCTGGGAAACTCTATTGGCAACGAAAACCTCCAAGGCATGAACAGACGCCCGAAGCCAACAAAGAACAATTTGACTGTCGGTCCATGCATAGATCTTCTCGAAGGCCACTGTTTGACCTAAGGTGGAAACAACGTGATTGAGGAGTCTCGAAAGAAGAGCAGCTCCTGAGAGCTCCAATTTTGGTATAGTCAGCCGGGACCGAATAGGTGCCACCTTACTTTTAGCTATAACTAATCTTACGGTGACACTACCGTTTCTGTCAACCGCACGAATGTAGACTGCAGCCGCATAGCCCAACTCCGAGGCATCACAAAAGCCATGAAGAGTCACCCGACATTTACCAGCAGGTAATAATTTTCTTTCTATCTTTACCAATTGAATGTCCGGAAGGGACGAGACAAAACGAGACCACGCCAACAACAATTCGCCATTGAGCGGAATATCCCATGTAAGATTTTCCAACCATAATTTTTGAAGGAAACACTTCGCCCAAAACACAACTGGCGTCAACCATCCGTTGGGGTCGAATATTCGGGCAACTGTGGAGAGTACCAATCGCTTAGTCCAAACCCGGGATATGTCTAAATCCTGTACACTAAACGTGAAGACATCCTGAGCAGGCTGATACTGCACCCCGAGTACTGCTATGGCGTCAGGATTATCAACATTCTGAAATAGATGAGGATCTTGCTGATGCTCCTTGGGTAAGCCGTCAAGGAGAGCCGGAGAGTTGGATACCCATTTTCTCAACTCATAACCACCAGCCCTTAAGATGCCAATCAACTCATCTCTTAATAAAAGCGCCTCTTTTTCATTAGCTGCGCCGGTGCAGATGTCATCGACATAAATATCACTAGACAGTACAGCTGCAGCTCTAGGGAAGTCCAACCGTTCACGCTCCGCCAGTTCGAGAAGCGTCCTGATTGCGATGAACGGACTTGATTTAAGACCATAAGTGTTCGTATTCAGCTCATAAGCCATAAT